AACCATCCTAGATGAATCCTACTTGGTCATGGTGTATGATCTTTTTGATGAGTCATTGGATTCTGTTTGCATCCTTGGGATATATTCCCAGGAGTGGTATTGCGGCATCATATGGAAGCTCAATTTCTAGTTTTTGAAGGACTGTCCATATTGTTTTTCAGAAAGGGAGGACTAGTGGGTATTCCCACCAACAGTGAAAGAGTTGCCATCAAGGAAATTGAAACGGTAATAAAAAGTCTTCCCAAGCACAAAAGTCCTGGCCTAGATGGATTCACTAGTGAATTATTCCAAATCTTTAATGAGGACTTACTCCCAATTCTCTTTCAGCATTTCCATGAAATTGAAATATCAAAAACACTTCCGAATAGTTTCTATGAAGCAAATATTACCCTGATACCAAAAGCAGAGATACCACAAAGAAAGAGAATTACAGGCCGATATCCCTGATGAACACAGACGCAAAGATCCTCAACAAACTATTAGCAAATAGAATCCAACGGCTCATCAAAAAGATTATATACCATGACCAAGTAGGATTCATCCCAGGGATGCAAGGATGGTGATAGGTCTGTTCAGGTATTCCTGGTGATCTTGGTTCAGCCTTGGAAGGCTATAGGAATCTAGGAATTTATCCATTTCCTCGAGATTTTCGTGTTCTGTGGCATAAAGCTTCTCAAAGTACTCCCTGAGGATCCTTTGAATTTCTGTAGTTTCTGTTGTAATGACCCCCTTTTCATTTCTGCTTGGGTTTATTAGGGTTTTCTCTCTCCCTTTCTTTGTGAGTCTTGCTAGAGGCTTATCGATCTTGTTTATTTTCTCAAAGAAACAGCTCTTGGTTTCATTGATCTTTCGGATTGTTTTTTGGGTTTCCATCTCGTTACTCTCTGCTCTGAGTTTTATTATTTTCTTCCTCCTGTTCGGATTGGGCTCCTTTTGTTGGTCATTCTCCAAGCTCTTAAGCTGTGAGGTTAGGTTACTTATGTGGGCTCGTTCCTCCTTCCTGAGGAATGCTTGTAGTGCTATAAACTTTCCTCTTAACACAGCTTTTGCTGTGTCCTGTAAGTTTTGGTAACTTGTGTCCTCATTTTCTTTCATTTCCAGGAATCTTTTGATTTCCTCTTTGATTTCCTTTCTAAGCCACTCATTGTCCAATAGTGAACTGTTTAATTTCCAGGTGTTTGATTTAGTTTTATATTTGTGTGTGTGATTTACTTCTAATTTCAGCGCATTGTGGTCTGAGAAGACTGTTGATATACAATCTCTATCTTCTTAATTTTATGGAGGTATGTTTTGTGGCTCAGCATGTGGTCTATCTTGGAGAATGTTCCATGCACACTTGAGCTTTTTGAGGATGAAGTGTCCTGTATATATCTACTAAGTCCTTTTCTTCCATTTTTTACCTCAGATGAAGTATGTCCTTGCTAAGCTTGAGTCTGGTTGATCTATCAAGAGGTGATAGAGCGGTGTTGAAGTCTCCCACTAGTATTGTGTTGCTATCAATGTCTTTCTCCAAGTCTATGAGTAGTTGCTTTAAGTACTTTGCTGGTCCCTCATTAGGTGCATATACATTTAGTATTGTAAGTTCTTCCTGTTTTACAGATCCCTTGATGAGTAAGAAATGGCCTTCACTGCCTCTTGTGACCTTATTCAGTCTGAAATCAATGTGGTCTGATATGAGGATGGCTACCCCAGCCTTTTTATGGGAGTTTTTTGCCTGTAGGATTGTTTTCCAGCCTTTGACTTTGAGCCTGTGTTTGCTTTGACTGTTGAGATGTGTTTCTTGCAGGCAGCAGAACGTTGGGTTCAATTTTCTAATCCATCCTGCCACTCTGTGTCTTTTAATTGGTGCGTTTAGCCCATTGACATTGAGAGATATCATTGTCTGGGGTTTTGTCCCATTTTTCTGTTGAAAATTTGTGTACTTGAGGGGCCCTGTCTTGTCTTAAAGTAGCCCACTTAGTTGCTCTTGTAACATGGTTTTGAGTCTATGAAGTTCCTGAGCTGTTGTTTGTCTGTGAAACTGTGTGTTGTTCCTTCTGTTATGAATGAGAGTCTCACTGGGTAAAGTATTTTTGGTGAGGGATTTATTTCATTGAGTTTGTTCACTATATCCCATCACTGTTTTGGGGCCATGAGGTTCATCAGACAAATCAGCTATTAATCTTAAGGATGCTCCTGTACAGGAAATTACTTTCTTTTATCTTGCTGCTTTCAGAATTTTGTCTCTATCTAAGGTTTTGGTCATCTTGATCAGGATGTGTCTTGGGGTATTTTTATTTGGATTTATTTTAGCTGGTACCCTTCGGGCCTCCTGAATGTGGTCGCATGTTTTCTTCAGCTCTGGGAATGTCGTAGCAATGATGTCTTTGACAGTTTCTTCTTCATCAGGGTTTTCTTCCTGTCCCTCCACGACTCAAATAATTCTTGTTACTCCTCTTGGCTTCATCACGATCTTCTCTTGCCATCTGTTCCCAGATTGTGAGTCTCTTTTCCATTTTTTGCTCTTTTCTAGAGAGTCTCTGATCCGAGCTCACTGATTCTGTCCTCAGCAGCTCTTACTCTGGTTTTTCAGGTCTGACATTTCCGTTTGTAATTTTGTTTGCATTTTCTGCATTTCTACCTTCAAATCCTATTGTCTTTTATTGGAATTGCTTTCCATTGTTTCTTTTAGCTCCCTATGCATCCTCAGTAGCTCCCTTCTTAATTGTTTTTCAGAGAGGTTGTCTAGCACTTCATTACTGTTGGTGCCTTCTGGTCTAGCCTCTTCAATAAGTAAGCTTGGTGGGCTTCTGTGTTGCTTTATCATTGTGACCTGTGTAGTTTAGACCTTCATGCTCACTGTTACTATTCTGCTTAAAATGCAGAATTGAGATGGGCTTAATGAATTTTTGGCTAATGTGTTTCTGGTGGTTTAGCTAACCTAGTCAAAGTTCCATCTAAGAGGGTAACTTATGGTTCCTATGGGATATGGAGGGGGAGCATAACTCCGGGAAGGGGTCCTGCCACTTGTCGGACACCTGGATGAGTGAGCAGAGGGTGCCGGAACGGCTCAGCTTTGGGTTCACGCGGTGTGTCTCAATTCCCATTCCCCACAGACCAAAGATGAAAACCGGCCGTTGTCAGGGAATATATTTAGACTTGCAGCCCCGGGAAGGGGCCCTGCCACTGGACAGGTACCTGGATGAATGAACCTAAACTTCTCTTGAGGAATAGGGAAGGAGGCATCATAAACATCAGGGGACAAGTGAAGGAGCAAGAGCTGGAGAGGTTTTGCAATAAAATAATTTTATTATGAGAAACTTCTCTCTAAGCTGCTCTTCCTAAGAGTTATGTTGTGGCCTATTTTTTCAGCTTGCTTTGGTGAATCTTTAATACTTATGTTGATATTTTCTGGATTACTTTTACCTTACTGGACTCTAGATCAAAGCAGCCTCAGCATTCTTTGATGCTTTATGCTATCTGTTAAGGTAAAAGGCCCTCCCGTTGTTCATTGATTTGCTCGAGTGGGCCCAGTAACGTCTCCATTAGAGACTTTGTTGTTACTGTGTTTGGCATATCGAATACGTCACGGGGAGCTTGCCAGGCTCTGCTGTGCGGGCGAGATACTCTCGGTAGCTTGCCGGGTTCTCCGAGAGGGGCGCAGGAATCGAACTCGGGTCGGCCGTGGTGGCTGCGTGCAAGGCAAACTCCCTACCGCTGTGCTATCGCTCCAGCTATCTGTTAAGGTAATCTTCTTTATTAATGTCACTTTTTTTTTCTTCAACAGGGGACTACACCCTGGAGTACTCAGCCTATAGGGCCCTGGCACTGGGGTAGATGCTCCTCAGGGGACACTAAGGCCACAGACTTCAGCAAAGGGTGTGTGCGTGTGTGTGTGTGTGTGTGTGGTGGGGTGAGGGATTGCCTGGGCACACATGATGCCTGGATCAAAATCCAGGCCTTGAACATGCTGGGCATATGCCCTACAACTTGAGTCGTGTCCCAGACCTAAAAAAGGTATTTTTCTGTAACTCATTCAAAGTACTTAAAATGCTTAAGCATTTTAAAGGGCGTCAACTGTCTTTGACAAGGATATTAGTCACTAGCTTTTGCATTCAAGAATACCTTTTTAGTGCACGCTCTTCTTGTTCTCCCTTGAACCCATATCTCACTTGCTTGTCACTATGTTTCTTGGCTTATTTTCACACTGGAGAAGCCTGTGTTCTTGCGGGAGAGTGGACTTCTCCCCGCCCCCCCACCCCACATCTCCCCTGTATCTTTCCAAATAAATTTCAATAAAAACTGTATTTCAAATCTCCTTTCCCCTGCCCCCAAAGGAATGCTTCTGGTGGAGCTAGAAAGATAATACAGGGATTAAGGTACCTGACTTATTCCTGGTAAGTATGCTTCTTATTCACATATGCCCCTGAGCACCACCAGAGTCACCAGAGTGATCCCTGAGAACACTGGTATCCCCCTCAAATAAAAAGGGAGAAAAAATCTGAAAACCTCTTGGGGGCTAGAGAGATGGCTCAAAGGGCTGGAAGACATGCTTCGCACACAGAAATTCTGAGTATGATCCTTGGTACCATGTGGTCCCCTGAGCACTGCCAGGTAGCAAACCCTAAGTACCATCGGGTATGGCCCAAAAACCAAAAAAAAAAAAAAAAAGGGGAGAGAGAGAGTGGGAGAGAGAGGGAGGGAGGAAGGAGAAGAAAAGAATGGATAGCTTTTGGGAGCATTTTCTCTGAATTCTTTATGTTTACACAGAATATCCAAAGTAGTTCTTCCAGAGGTGTTGATGAAATATCTAAGTTTTACTGCTGTTATCATGAAGATTTATAATATCAGCATATCAGCATCCACCCCTCTTCCCTCTGATTTTCTTTTGAGTCTGTTTTTACAGTTGATAATTCCACATGAGACCATGGTACTTACATTGTTTCATTTTCCCCCTATGAATCAACTTGACAGTGAAGTGAATGAAATGACACAAAAATTTTTATGAAAGATATCCCATGTACATATTATATATAATATTTTATTTTAAAATGTCATTGAGCATATACATTTCTTTAGCTTTTTTCCGGGGAACATTGCACCTTGGTTTCAAAACACACAAAATAGATCCCATTTACTAGACTTTTCATTGGGGGGGGGGAGGGTGGTTACAAAATTCAATTTTCACAATCACAAAGCATTTAGGTACGTGTGGCCTGGGAACCACTTTCAGGCAGAGTCTTCTCATTCACTGTACGGAGGGTATTTTTGGAAACCCAGACCATGATACATTCCTTATGAATGGTCTCCATGGTGGGACTCCCTAGGTCTCTAGAAGAAACAAAGAAAATAGAGGCAAAGTAGGAGCAGGAGGATATCCTCTGGATTTCCCCAAAGAAACACACATTAATTACTGTGGAAGATGTAGACATGGGCAGACTCAAAGTTGTGCTTCAAACACAGTAGAAAGCAACAACGCCACATGGACTGCCTCATTTGGTTACTGTCTACCTGGTCACTATTGGAACAAAACTGCATCAAAGACGATGAGGAACAATGGAAGCTATTTACACCAAAAACGCTGTAGATGAGAGCAGTCCCCTCCAGATGCACTCAGCGCTGACAGGTCCCCCACTGCACCACACATGAGGAGTTGGGCTGTTCATGTAGTGTCTTGTGAAAATCTTAGTGTACACACACACACACACACACACACACACACACACACACACAACACATACACACATCACCATTCCAAATGCACAGTTTGCTCAGCGTGGACGTGGTGTACAGGCCACAATAACTACTATGAAATATGAATTCCTCAAAAATTCAAATTTGTGTCCTGCGGCCAGAGATTGAGTGATAATTTTTTTGTTTTGTTTTGTTTTTTTAAATTGGGTAACATTTAGGGTCTGGCTGTTCTTTGCATAGACTGTGATTCTCAGAGCTTTTTCCAAGTATCCCCATCGATCACACTGAATTACTGAAGACAGAAGCTGATAAAAGCCTAACAGATTCACTTTGAAAACAGCACAGCAGTGGGGTTGCTTAAGGAAGAATAGATCCTCAAATTGTCGTGGGAAGAAAATTGGTGATGGTGGTGTGGGGGGGTGTGGGAGGGATACTGGGATCATTGGTGGTGGAGAATGACACTGGTGGAGGGATGGGGACTTGATCATTGTATAACTGAAACCCAAGCACAAATTTTGTAAGTCTACAACTGTACCTCATGGTGTTTCACTAATAAAAATTAAAAAAAAAATTGGTGACCAGTTATGGCCGAGGAAAGAAGGTAGGTGAAGAAGGTGAGGGAGAGGCTAATGTGAGAATCTGAACAAAAGAAATATGGGAGAACTGCTCTCCATATTTCAACACTGATGCTGTTGATAAAGCAAAAACCCGGCTCAAATGACCAAAATCACAGCGCCCCCCCCAACTGAGTGCTGGGACTCTCGTCTCTCTCACATTGGTCATTTATCCTAAGAAGCAAACAAATACATAGAAGTAGAAGAAGAATGTGGAAGAAGAATGTGGACACAGCTGATGTCAGAAAGCCCCCATGGAGCTTAAGTGGCTAGGAATTAAAAAAATAAAACACCCTACATTCCCCAAAGTGTAATACTGTGGAAAATAACTGAAGGTTCTGGTTTTTTTTTCCCCTAATCTTGGCTTTGTCCTATTAGACAGCTGGGTATGGGGCCTCGCCCAAGTTTCACCTCTCCCAAGAACGGGCAGCAGTTCCCAACCATTATAACTACCACAGGACCCCACCACTGACTGCCAATACACTGGGATTTCAGATGATCGGGAGAAATGCTGCAGAGTATGTATGGAGTATGACTTTGCTCTCTTTAAGGAAAAGGGTGTCACCAACTCATCTGAAGAGCAGAAGCCAGCTCAACAAAGATATTTAGAACTGAAAGAGACTTTTATTAAAGCAAGTGGCTAGACACACCCAAGACAACCATAAATACTTGGCTAGGAAATCGAAAGCCTTTTATTAAGCAAGTCTTCCCTTGAGGCTGTCAGGGCAAGCAGATTTGGCTATAAGTCAGATACAAGATTTCAGAACTCTGTGTGTGTGTGTGTGTGTGTGTGTGTGTTGCTGCAGAATTTTGAATGTTACCTCTTGGCTTTCCAAGGGATGCTCCTAGAGTCCAACTGTTTGGTACTGTGCTGAGATGGGATGATATGTGACAAGGGTGAAAACTAAGGCCTAAATCAAGTAAGCTCAATTTGCAAAGCAGTATAGTATTAGTGCTGAGTAGGTTTTCTTGGGCAATACTATCACCTTTTTTTTTCACGTCTAATTTAGTTCCTTCATTTGTAGTTTCCTTTCCATCTCCCACCAAATGGAACAGGGCTTAGCTTGCTTCTAAGATCTTTCTTATAAAAAAGGAATTCCTAGATACTTTTCTAAACCTGTAGGACTAAATGCACAAGATTGTGACAGAAATTGAGTAAGGGCAGGGTTTCCAGACTTTATTCCTGAGACATGCCTGAGGAGTCGGTGAATTGGTGAATCGAGTAGAAACTTATCATGGTATCTATACTTCTACACCCAAACTCTGGCTCTGATGGCCCCAACAAAATTCAAGAAGCTGAAGACAGAGAGCACACACAGATGCTCAGGAAAGAAAGGAAAGGTAATGGAAACCTGGACAGGAGATGATTGGGCAGACAATTGGCCACAGAAGGTGGGCCCAAGTTCCTCATGGAAAACTTTGATCAAGTTTCCATTTGTTGAATGAGACTCTGGGAGTCAGGGCAGAAAGAGAAAGTGGACCACACCCGCTGCGGGAGGCCGGTTTCCCAGAGCATCAGATTCTGCCAAAGAAGCAAATGGTTTACCGCAAACTTCTCCCCTGAGACATTTGGAATGGCTGAGATTTACCGAAGGAGGTGAGAAAGCTGCAGATGAAGACAACACTTGACTAGGCTCTTCCCAGCCAGTAGGTTGCTGAACACCTGGTGGGATGGATTCCCACAATACTTCTCCCGGCCTTTGTTTCCACACTGTGGAATGAATTCATTCCTGAGTAAGAAGGCTCCAGGCCTTCTCGGAGAAAAAAAATCAACCACTCTAGGAATGCAGGCAATTATCTTAGAAGAAAGGTTCCAATTCTCTCCTTGGGGAAGGGATTCAAACCATCACAGAACTGGAAATCTCCAGCATTGGGCTCAAGGGGAGGGTGGGGGAGGGGGCAAGGCTGGGGAATCACACCAAGGGGCTTTCCCCTCCCCTTTATTGGGCTAAACTATATGTTTTTAATCACCCAGAGCTGTCAAAATGGTGAGGCTACCATAGGAGGCCTACATGGTGCCAACTGGCAATCTGCCTCAGAGAGAGAAGTCATTTACAAAAATCTTAAGTTCTAAAAATTCCTCTTGGCAGGGCAGTAGTGGGGAGACCTGGTGTCTGCCGCTGCTTCCATGGCTGCTCTTCTGAGAACCCCTGAGCATAGAAGCAGGGGCCTCAGTTCCCAGGAGTCGGGACACAATTCTAGGGGGCAGAAACTCGGCGCACACAGCAGGAGAATGACCAGCACATTGAACTAGAATTCACATATAGGAAATGTCCTGACCCCAAATTGCAGGCAGAGGACCACCGCTACTCCTTGTCGTACCTTGCCTGCAGTGGGCTCAGGATATGACCCAAGAAACCTGGATCCAAAAGCAAATACTTGTCCTGTGTCCCTGATCCCAGCTCAGAGGGTGTGGAGGGCCAACCATTCCAGAAACCAAAAGCCAGACTCCCGCCTACAAACCTCAGCTTATACAAGGAGGACCTGAACAACAGACAGACTGTTGGTCCAAGGAAACACCCCTATTTTCACGAAAACACACTGATTTGGAGAGAAAACGCAACTCAGGAACAAACAGTTATGCAACAAAGACAGCAACTGGCGGCCAGGGCACTGCTCCAGAAGCGGCCTGGGTGGTGTGGGCCGTGGCTACGACAGCCTGGGCTGGACGCAGACTCCCAGATTCCTCAGAAAGGAGCTGGAAAGTCCCAGGCCTGTTCTATGGAAAAATTAAAACAACAACAACAACAAAACCCAAAAAACAAGATTCAAGAAATAGCAGAAAAGGAAAAAGAAAACATCCTGCTTTATCCCACCATCACCAGAAAGCACACACACCTACATACAGCATCCCCGCCAGAGACCGCTTTCCCTGAACTAAACCTTGGGCTTACTAGGAAGGGAGGCGCTCACACTTTCTGAAGTTCGACCCCCCACTCTTCCAATGCAGTGCTCTCAGCCTGCGGAGAAGCTGGTAGCTTCACAGCCTCTGGGAGTCTCCTGCCCCTTCCACCCCAAACTGCCTGCCCCAGACACTGGCGATCAAAGAAAGAGCCTGCACGTGGCAGGAGCCACCTGGGAGGCATAAAGCAGGAACTAACGGAAACACGGGCTTTGGGAGCAGCCTTGGGCATGGGCGCTTGATGAGTGTCCAGATCTGTTGCTAAAGAGGAAACGGAAACCTAAGCGTCCCCTGGCAGCTCAGCCAGAGGCCTGCAGCAGCGGCACGCCCCTGCAGGGCTGGGCCACACCCCAGACTCTGCTGGGGGCACTTTGAAGTCCCGCCCCGCCAAGAGGCAACCCAGCTTTCTTCCTTGCTGTCCTCCCAGCCCCTGGACGGCTTTCATGACAGCTTGTTTCCGTGTATTAAAGGAATGACGTATACAGAAATGTCGTCTCCCGAGCCCAGCCGGTCGTTGGATATCCGCCATCCTCTGTCCTTCAGGACTCCACGGGCACGCATCACCAGATCCTGAGCCGCCAGCGTGTACCTGTGCAGGAGGAAGTGGGGACAAGACCATCAGTACAGCATCAGACATGGCTGAGAGAACATCCTTCAAGTCACAAAAGGTCCAGGTCATCTTTCCCCCCAAAGTTGGGTACCAGATGTGAGGTTATGACTTAGCTTGTAGATGAACAAGGTGCCATATACAAATCACCTCCTACAGTGCTCTGCTCACTCATTTGTTCTGTTTTGTTGGGGGGAGGTGTGGTTAGAGCCACGCCCATCCTTGCTCAGGGGCTATACCCAGGTCTGTGCTGTGGGTGAGGGGTTGCTCCTTGCAGGAGACAACCTGATGCTGGGGATTGAACTCCTTCATACAAAGCATGCACTCACTCAATTGAGCTCACTCCAGCCCCCATTTAAATATATAGATTTTCTTTTGGAGTTTTTTTTTACCCTCCTAGGATCTCCTGAATGGTGCGCTCAGAAGGTTTGGGGGGGGGGGGTGGTCCCTGCTGGTAAGTCTTGGCCAATGGGGTCACTGGCTCAATGCTGAAGTCTGGAGACTATGGCACTGTGGGGCCAGGGATTACTCTTAGCACACGAGACTGTACTTGTGATGCTCAGGGAACCCTGTGGTGCCAGGGACGGGCCTTGGGTCAGCTGCACGTAAGGCACATACTTTAAGTCCGGTGCCACTTTTCCTTTTTCTGAGGTTTTTGATGATGTCAAAGAGTGACTTGGTTTGGTGCTAGGTTTTCTTTAGAGGCTTAGCATTTTCCTGGGCTTTGAATGGTTGAGAATAAGCGCGCATGGCTGGGGAAACAGATCAAAGCACTGGAGTTCCTGCTTGGCATGCCAGAGGTCTAGGATCAATTCCTGGCACCACACAATCCCTGGAGCACCACCAGGCACAATTCCTGAGCACTGAGCCAGGCATAGTCCCCAGCACCTCTAGGTCTGATCCCCAAAACAGAACAAGGACATGGGTAAAGTCACTTTCATTTTCAATTATTATTATTATTTTTATATTTTGGGGCCACACCCGGTAATGCTCATGGCTTACTCCTGGCTCTGTTCTCAGGGATCACTCCTGACCATATGTGGTGCTGGGGACAGAACCTGGGTCAGCTGTGTGCAAGGCAAATGCCCTACTCGCTGTACTATCTCTTTGGCCTCTTCAATGTTTATTTTTACGGTGAAAATCCTTTTAATATAAAGGGTAGCATCTTCTATTTATGGTTGGACTAAGCTGTTTAAAATCAATTTGTTTTGTAAAAAGTGTGTTGATTTGGGGCTGGAGCAATAGTACAGCAGGTAGGATACTTGCCCTGCACATGGATGACCTGGGTTTGATCCCCGGCATCCCACATGGTTCCCTGAGCACTGCCAAGAGCGATTCCTGGGTGCAGAACCAGGAGTAAACCCTGAACATTGCCTGGTGTGGCCCCAAAACAAAAAAAAAAGGAATACAAAAAATGAGTAATAGTTTGAATAGGATTAATAAGAATTCAGAAAAAGTCCAAAGATTGTTTTGGTAAATGAGCAGTAGGTCCTGATGTGTGAGGCGAATGTTATAACCACTACACTCAGAAACTGCCACTGGTAGACCTTGTTGTGAATGAGCTGCTCTACGCTCTGTGTTCCACACTATCGGCTCCTCAGGACCAGTGTAAGTATGGGATGGCTCCCCCAGGCATTTGAAAATAAGCCACCTCATTGAAATTCAAACTGAACTTCAGGGAAAAGAATGCCTACACTATGTGCTGAGAGAAACTATTAACAAGTAGAAAAAAAACTAAGGTAGGAGGAAATTTGGGTGGGTGTGGGCTGTGGTTGGCCTGGAGGCATGAATAATGAGATAAAATCTATACAAAATCTGATCAGGGCAGAGCCCTAGCCTACAGATCTCTAATTTATGATTCACCCATATGTTCTGATTTTGTGATCACCAAATAACCTGATTATCATCATCTTCCTTGTGTAGGCCTGCCTGTGGGGAATGAGGGAGCTAGTCATCCAGATACTTTAAGAACACCACTCATATTTCTCTGTACAAATGTCAACTGGCATTCTGATTTGCAGATCACTCTTGTGAGGCTGGCCAAGGTAGGCTGGCTAATCACTCTCCCAGCTCTGAGAAGGATTCTGTTCTTTGTATGTTGTTTAAGCCAGTGTGGGGGACCTTTAGTTTTGGGGGGCCATGCTTGGCAGTGCTCAGGGCTTACTCCTGGCTCTGTGCTCAGGAATCACTTCTGGAAGGCCCTTGGGACAACATGTGGTGCCAAGGATTGAACCTATGTGCTGGAGTGATAGCACAGCGGGTAGGGCGTTTGCCTTGCACACGGCCAAACCGGGTTCAATTCCCAGCATCCCATATGGTCCCCTGAACACCACCAGGAGTTATTCCTAAGTGCAGAGCCAGGAGTAACCCCTGTGCAATGCCGGGTGTGACCCAAAAAGAAAAAAAAAAAAGATTGAACCTGTATTGGCAGGATGTCCAAAAGTGTACTGTTACTATGGACCCTAGTTTTTGGAATCTTTAGAAAGACTAAAAGCCATTCCCTGGCAAATTAAATGTCACCCTTTAAGGAAGGCTTTTGGAAAAGAGGGGAGAGGGGAGAGAAAGAGAGAGACAGAGAGAGAGACAGAGAGGAGAAGAGAGGAGAGAAGAGAGAGAGAGGAGAAAGAGGAGAGGAGAGAGACAGACAGACAGACAGAGACAAAGACAGAGAGAGAGAGAGAGAGAGAGAGAGAGAGAGAGAGAGAGAGAGAGAGCACTCCCTGGAGTGACCAATGACTTCCCTCTTTCAGAGAGGCCTTCAGAATTACAGCCTGAAATCAGGGTGCCAGCAGCCTCTGCTGCTTCCCCCCACTCCCGTTTCCTTTGCTGCTGCTACAATAACGGGGTTTGTGCATGCTTGGTTGTGCTGCTTGCAGCGTACATCTGCTCACATTTGGTTATGGAGCTGTTGCACTTGGTCACAATGCTCCTGCAGTCACACAGTCACACACTTTAACTATGATGAATACACATCCCTGGTGAATGCCAGGATCATTTGCTCTGTTTCATCACTGGGAATCCCAGACAGTAGAGGTGTCAGGACTGACCTCGGAGCATGTGGATGGAACTAGGGATCAAACTCAGGGCCTCATGCTGGTGAGGCAGGCACTTTTCTCCTCTGAGCCATCCCGAGAGCTCCCAAATCTCTTCTGTCTTCTGCTCACACCTCTTATGAATCTCCTTCCCCTCCCCCCATCATCACTGAGATAATTATTTTGAGGCAGGAATCACTAACTTGCACTTGTGGGAAGAATCAGCCAGTTAAGTCTTTCCTGAGGATGGTTCCCCTGCTGAGGCCTGATAAACAGAAAGGCCTCAAAGAGACCACTGGCTACAGAACCAAATAAGTGTCACAAAGGTCGGGTACCACAGGTCTCACACATACATATTCAGAAGAATATGGTCCCCAGGTCCCTCGTGGTTCTGTATTAATTGTGTATCTGGGATATAGAGAGGGAATCTTGTTTAGCACCAAACCACCCCCTGACCTGCTCTCCACTCTCATACTATGGAAGACTTTCTTCCCTTTCCTGTTTTCTAGTCTCTTTAATAAAATCTTGGAGATTAAAATTAAAAAAAAACCTAGGGAAAGATTTATTATTCCATAATGGGTCGGAATCTGGACCTTAGCTTTTCAAGTTCTGATGTCTAGCTGAATCAACACGTAAAGTAGATTCATTTTTTAGGGTTGATACATCTTTGCCCAGCTCATGAACTGGCTAGACAGAAAATGATGGCAAGTTAGAAGAAAAGATGCTGTCAAAGAATATGCTCAAATATAGCAAAGAATTTTGTTCAGATATGGCAAAATCAGATAAAGGAATCCATTACAGGCTTCTGTGGCTCATCTAGAGGCCAAATCTCCTACAGGATTCATTGAGTTCTGCAGTAACTGGGATTTCAAGTCACAAAATAATCAAACTGTACTAGGAGAAACAGTGCAGTGAGATGGCATGTCTGCCTTGTAGCCTTGCAAAGCATATGGTCATGAGTTCAAATTCCCTATGTCCCATATGCAGGATTCTGCAGTGTTGCCTTTGAACCTGGGCTGGATAGCACAGCAAGTAGGGCGTTTGCCTTGCACAGGGCGGACCCGGGTTCGATTCCTCCGTCCCTCTCGAAGAGCCCGGCAAGCTACTGAGAGTATCCCGCCTGCACAGCAGAGACTGGCAAGCTCCCCGTGGCATATTTGATATGCCAAAAACAGTAACAACAAGTCTCACAACATGTCTCACATTACTGGTGCCCACTCGAGCAAATCGATGAACAGCAGGAGGACTGTGCTACAGTGCTACAGTGCCTTTGAACTTGGCTGTCTCAAAGCCATGGTCTCTGCTGCCCTATAGCCAGGTGAGTAAGCACTGCCGAAAGGGGTGTGGGCCCTGGCCAGGAAGTGCACAATCTGGTGAATAGGTGTGAGCACTGCGTGACTGTGACCCCTGGCAAACACTGCCACCATCACTGCACGCCCTATTTAAGAGTGTGAGCCTTGGGGTGCAGGTGTGCAAGCAACACAGTCAGGGAGCACAAGGCCCAGTGTGCCCTCAGCTGAGTGTGAGCGCTGGCCAGCACCTGGGGCCTGTGTGCAGACTCGCTCGTCACATCATCAGCAATGATGAAGGAAAGGAGAGAAGGCTGAAAAGCAAACAACTAAAAATAATAAGAGCAACGGCCTTGACAAGTGATCAGGATTCACTTTGGTATTTGATTTATGTATTTGGGCTTATGGGCACCCCCGGCAGCGCTCCAGCATACACATACTCCCCTACCACCCCTTTGAGCCACAAACTTCTTGAATATGGCCTTCCCTCTATTTTTTGTATTTTTTCCATAAACGTCTGTTAGTTTTTTTTTTCATTTTCCCTTCCAGGTTTTCAGTGTTCTGTTTTCTTTCTCAGCCTTTCTGCAATACCATTTTATTTCTCTCTCTTATTTTGGGGCACACCCTGTGGTACATACTCAGGAATTAATCCTGACTCTGT